GGCGACGAGCGCGAATCATCCTCGCCGAGATTGGCGCCCTGACCAAAGAGGCCGAGATGCTCCAGGCCCGGACCGAGTCTACGCTGCAGCTGCTCGTCGCCTCGATCGGGCTCGCCCAGAGCGCGCTCGTCATCGGCCAGACGTCAGGCATCAACAAACTCACAGAGCTCGCCTTCATCTTCATCCCGCTCTCCTTCATCACCTCGGTCTTCTCCATGCAGGTGGCCGAGATGACGGCGGATCCCCCCGGGATGTGGGTCTGGGGCGTGACGCTCGCCGCCGTCTTCGTCGCCACGTACGGGATCCGCCTGTTCCTGCGCTCGCCCAGCGTGCGCCACGTCGGCGCCCGCGCGCGCGCCACCGTCATGAACCGCTTCACGTCGCCCTCGTCGGCCGCGGCGCCGAACCGGCTCAACAGCCTCAGCGCGCGCGCCGTCGCGCGCTTCGTCTGCGCCGCCCTCGTGACCTACGCCATCTTCGTCCCCGTCGGCCTCGCCCTCGCGTGCGTGTACCTGGCCACCTACCTGGTCTGGCTCGCGGCCGCGGCCGCGTCCGTGTACGTCGCGGCCTCGCGCTGGCCCGACCCCCTGGCCGCGGGGCTCGGCCTCGGCTTCGGGCTGCCGCTCTCGGCACTCGGCCTCTGGCTCAGGGTCCGCCTCGCGGGCCCTATCGATGACGCTATCGAGCGCGTCATGAGCTTTGAGCGGCTGTCCAGGGTGATGACTCGGGTCCGCGACCGCCTGCTGCCGAACAAGTGGTTCTACGACAATGAGGACTCGGACCTGTCGAGGGAGGGGTACAGCACAGGCGCGAGGCAGCAGATTGTGGGCACGTAGGCGAAGGGCGGGTAGGGTGGCATATAGTAGCATGTATTTGAGGAGCAGAACAAATACAAAAATCCAGCAAGAAGCTGTGGTAACCAGGTCATTCACGGAACACGCTCCTGCTAGGGTTGGCGAAAACGTGCAAATAGGGCCCCAGTAGGACCCATGGGTTTTGGGCCCAGCGGAAAACCCAAATGGGGACCCAAATCTGGGGGTTTGGCGCGTGGTTTGGGATTCGCCAAGGTGTTCGTTTAGCTCCCACTGTACCCGCATGTCCGAGCTCAGCTCCAAAAGCCACGTTCCCTCCCGCCTTCCCTTTCCCATGGCCGTAACATCGAGTACACATATATGGAGCAGGCGTCCGATGTAGGCATCAATTTTCTATGCTTCCGCTGCATCGTCAGCGTGTCCACGCAAAGACGCATCAGGGCTCGGCGCTCATGGTGGGTCTGCCCGAAAAGCGTAGAACTCCCTCCTGTGCTTGTGTTCACTTGCACCTTTCATCCTTTCCTTTTTGTTGTCATCTCTTCACAGTTCGACTATACGCCCTTGGGCCTTTTTTTTTTCGAGGTTCGCAATATATTATGTATTCCCTTCTTCTGTGCTGCTCTATCCTCAGCTGTTAGCACCGCTTCGCCCCCTCCGATAGCCACTTCCTATCCAGCACCTTGTTGCTTGTACCGGCTCCTGATGCGGGGCCGGATGTGGTGTGTTCGCCTCAGTGCTACCCTCTCGCTCCCATTCTATTAGTATCAGTCTGTGAGTCCCGTCCTGCTACTCCCATTCTATCAGTCCTGTCATGGTTCTTCGTGTAGCGAGGAACCTAGGGGGGAGTGGGAGGGCCAGGGCGGGGCGGGGGCACCGGAAACGGCGGCACCGGGTGAGGGGGGGTGGGAGGAGGGGTGGGGGGAGGAGTGTGAGGCATTGCGGCTGACGAATCTGGCTGCAGTGTCTGAGTTGGTGTTGTTGTTAGGGGTTGGCTTGAGCGTTGCAGTCTTGTTGATAGCTGCTGGCAGGTGTCCGGATGAGCTTTTCTGCAGTGCGAAGTGTGCCTCGAGTGAGGTGTTCGTTGAGTGTGCTGGTAGTGGAGGAAATGGAAATGCCGAGTGACGGTCAGATTTGGGGTGTATTTATACATCGATGCTGCCCACCCTCACCGTGAGGCACTATTACTCTGGCATCGTTGTGACAATGAGTTACATGATGTCTATTGTTTCTTTGTATGGGTATTTCCCCCATTTTAGCATCGCTGTGACAATGAGTTACATGATGTCTACTGCATTTCTAAAGGGGGTTTTGCTTTGCTCGATGTTGCCAGAAGTGCCACGCGGTGTGGTATTTGCCCCCAATTTACTAATATCTGCTTTCAGGTTGTCATGCGCTAGAAGCCATGGACACTCTCAAGAACTCTGGGCTGCAAGATTTCTGCATTCACCCATCCCCTTCCCGACGCCTCAGAGAGACCAGGTGACGTCCTTGTAGTCGACATCCCGGATCGGCAGCGCGCCGACCTTTAGCACGTAGTCCATCAGCGTGCCCTCGCCGCCCCAGGTGGCCGTGGCGAACTCGCGCATGAGGTCGAGCCCGTTGAGCAGGGCGCCGCTGGTCCACATCTTGCCGTCGCGCGCCCAGCGCTTCTCGACCCAGTTGGTCTGCGGCGCCTGCTCGCGCAGGATGGGCAGCATGGGGCGGGGCCCCGTGGCCGTCTTGCCGGCCAGCAGGCCGGCCTGGAGCGGGACCTCGACGCCGCCGCAGATGCTGATGAAGGCGGCGCACGTCTCGTGCATCTTACGCACGAAGGCGAGCTCGGCCTCGTTGGGCTTGTACCCGATGTTGTGCGCGCCGATGACCACGACGTCGAGCGTGGGGCAGTCGGCGAAAGAGTGCTGCGGTTGGGTGTTGTTAGCGCTGCGTTTCGGGGCCTCTCGACAATCCCGAGTCCTGACAGGATGATACTTGCAGTAGCGACGATGTTGAGGTTGCTGGTCATGCGCATGGGGCCCTTGGCCGATCCATGCTCGGACACCCAGATGAACTGCATGTCAAGGGACTGCTTCTTGAGGGATGCGGGCAGAACCTCCTCCGGCCAGTCCTCGATGAACTTGGTGTACATCCCATGGAGGACGTCAATGGGAGCGACATCGAGGATCTCAGTTATGCTAAGTAGAGAATGTTAAATAAGACCTCGGGACTTCAAAAGGCAGAGATGAGATGCAGGATCAACTAACCCATTCATCAAGATGACACCGCAACGGACAGCCCGCGAGGGGTTCTTGAGGTCGATAATTCCAGACATTTTCGGGTAGGGGCGTTGATATTGGATGGTTTGAAAGCTTTGCAATGAGTTGGTATTTGGTATTGAACGTTTGTGATTGTCCTGCTGGTTGATTCTCTCGCATTCTTTCCTCAGGAGCCTGTAGCCGCATCTTTATAGATGGAGGCAATGGCATGTTACGATATTCACGGCCAGAAGAGGCCGAAATTTTTCGGAGGAAGCGTTGACATGGCGTTGAAAAACACCGATTATTGTCGGACCTGGGTTTGCATACCAATCCATCTCTAGGCGGTGCACTGGCAGTTCACAAGTGTCGTTGATCCTGTAAGTGGCTTGTGTTCTCGCCAAGCGGCCCACCCCACTTATGAGCAGGTAGCGCACACTAATGTAGGCTAGACTGAAGTCATTGGGCGTTGGCAGCTCCGAAGCCTGTCGGAGCTTGCGTTGATATTCATGACGCGGCCTGGGATTGTGGAGTTTAAGGGTGCATTGCGCAAGGACCTATATCTTTTGGTGGTCACTGGTGGCATTGCATGCATCTGGCCGCTCGCATTCAGTTCGGACTCTAGATATCGCTGCATATCAAATCCCGAAGGAACGCGGCCACTGGGGGAGAATCTGGCCTGTCGGTGCTGGCGACGCTTCCTTCCATTAATACTTCTCGATTCGGTACTACCACTCCTATATGTTCAAACAGCATAACCGGCAGCAGCAATGTCTGCCTGCACCGCATTCTCAGTGGCGTCCGAAGGGTAGCCCGCGGTCATGACGCCCTCGTAGAACGTGCCCCGGCCCGAGATGCTGTTGTCGCCCCCGATCCCGAGGATGATGGCGCCCTCCTTCTGCATCGGGTTGTAGCCCGACGCGTTTGGCCGTTTACCGCTGTAAAAAGTCGACAGCCCGCCCGCGGTCGCGTCGGCGCCCCGGATGGCCCACTTGTTCGGCCCGCCCTTGACGACAGCCGTGACGAACCTGTGGTTGATGGTCGGGTCGCCCGTATTCTGCTTCACGTTTACGCCCGAGAAGAGCCCGTTCTCGAGGTCCGCCATGATCCAGGGCCCCGATCCGGCCCCCTTGCCCCAGCTAGTGCTGGAGCCAAAGTAGATGGCTTCCATGTGGCCGTTGCCCGTGTCGCGGCCGCTGGTCTCGGCGTTGCCGTAGTCGAAGCAGCAGCCGCCGTTGTGGTGCGTCCCGTCCAGAACCGCGTACATGCCCTGCGCCCCGTCGCCCTTGGCCGTGCCACTCGCCTTGTTGTTGCGGTAGCCACAACCCGGCGCGATGTAGACCCCGTAGGCCTTGTGGCCGCCGACCTTCACCGGCGCCGCGGTCGCGTTGGCGAGGTTGTCGTAGCCGCCCGACGCGGGGCCCTTAAAGCCCCCCGGAGGGGCCTGGGTCAGGTGGTTGCCGCGGCCGGACTGGTCGTAGATGGTCGAGATGAGGCAGCTCGTGCCGGCGCAAAAGGAGTCTTGGGCCGCGGCGTTGGCGACGCCGCCCGCTGACAGCGGGGAGATGTCCTTCCTGCCGCCGTCGGGGCGTTGCAGCTGGTACAGCGGGCCCGAGTAGGCGCGGTACAGGGCCCGGGTGGTGCTGTGCGCGGCGACGCAGGGGGTGTTGCCCGCGGCGTAGATGTCGCACGGCGCGGCGGCGGCGAGGGGGCCCGCGGCGGCGAGGAGCATGAGCGCGCGGACGCGGTCGATCTTGCCTCGTGGAGACATGGCTGGTTGCTTTTCTTGGGTGCCGGTAGGAAGGGGTGGCGCAACAGCAACTGTCAGGGTGCGAACCTGGCGCCAAGTCGAGCTTTTTGGGACGACGAGTGAGGTGCGAGGGCGCGGCTATATAGGCACCGATATCCAGCCTTCCTGCGGTGCAGGCGTGATATCGTGGCCATCATGTTTTGTCGCCCATGGTTGGCTGGGCTATCTGTGTGTTGTTCAGGCTACGCGACTTGCTCGTGGATCCGGGACAATGATGGCGCGAGTAGCGCGCTTCCGAGAGCCCCTGGTTGCTCCAGGCATATTCGTCCTTGGTTGGCATGCCGCGGGTGCGTATCCCCACACTCCGCCCATACCACGACGGCTGTGGGTGCCAAATATGCCCCCCGTATATTTCAGGAGTCGAAACAAGCCTTCATGCTTCTCCACTTGTCCTGGCGGAGAATGTTGGTAGTTGCAGGGGACAACCTTATGCCGGTTTGGCCTTGTTATTTCCGTGGACGCCAGACCTACTTCGGTAGTTGTCTGTCCCTCCGACGACGCCCTCCTTGAAGAGACCATGAGTCGCATTGACCAAACCCCCCGCATCTTAGGGACGACCCCGCCGGGAATGAGAGACCACGATGCAACCCTCCCTCCAAAGTACTCGTCATCGTGGCTTCCAAATTGGGCGTGTCTACCTCGCGCCAGATTACATGTTGCTCTGCGTATTCGGGCAGAAGGAATACAAGTTGCGGGGTCAGAAGATGTAGAACGGGATAGAACGCTCGGGAGGTCTGGGGAATGCTGCTGTAAAGATGCTCGGGGATATGAGACGGCGGGCTCATCGCAGCCCGCACGCAGTTGGGACAATCCGGACCGGCGAAAGGATTGAGAATGCGCGCGAGGTATTGTCCCTGTCTGCCAAGTGGGCCGCCTGGGCGGTTTAGAATTGGTTGGACACCTTGCGCGTCAACGACTGGGCTGCGTATCCAAATCAGTAGGCGCTTGCCATCAGTGGCCCAGATTCCTGCCGTGCAGCATGCGTTTGTAGAGTGTATTCATTAGGTATTGGAGTCATGTTTGAGGCTACCTTCATCCCAGCAGAGCTACCGCCAGCACACCCTGAGTTGCGGCTTTGTTCACCCTCCCCACAGGTCAAGTCAGGGGTCTGGCTGCACCAACCACAACTCCACCATCCACGCCGAGACCCTACTCTCAAGGGTTGATAATCCGGACCTTCTCCGAGTACGCCGTCTTGAGGATGTTCATCTCCTTGAGCGTCTTGGCCGGCGTCTTGCTGTCCCCCATGTACACGTTCCGGAACGTGGCGCCGCTGACCATGGCCGAAGGCCCGCTCCCTTGCAGGTACCCGTCCCTACCCCCTTGCTTCCTTGCGCGGATGTTGCTCACGGTCAGGCGCGTGATGGGGCCGACGCCCTGGTTGACATTGTTAACGTAGGCTATCAGCCACGACGCGAAGCCTCCCGGCGAGCCGCCCAGATTCTCGATGTCGATGTTGTCGAACGTGACCGAGTCGGCGGCGGCGCTGCCGAACTTGTGGTGCACGCCCAGCCCGACGCCGGCGCGGTGCACGACGCTGTCGCGAAAGGTGACGTTGCTCTGGCGCTGCCACACGCCCTCGCCGACCTTGTAGCCGAAGCACTCGGTCCAGGCCAGGCAGTCCTCGAACACGACGTCGGCGAGCGGGCGGGGAGGGTAGGGGTAAGGGACCGTGGTGCCGACGTCCTCGGGCCACGTCTTGGTCGAGAAGCTGTCGTCCTTGGCGACGGCGATGGAGCGGCGGACCGTCACCCTCGTGGACTCGCAGATGTCGACGCCGTCGTTCTGCGTGATGCTGAAGCGGTTCAGCACCTTGAGGTTGACCATGTACACGCCCTCGGACTGCACCGCCATGACGCCCCAGAAGGAGCTGTCGCGCACCAGGACGCCGTCGACGCGGAAGTTGGTCGTGCCCGCGGGGACCAGCATGCTGGCCATGAACTTGTTGTCGCGCGTCTTTTGCCCGTTGCCGTCGATGGTGCCGCGCCCGTACACCTTGACGTCGCTGGACCCGGTCTCGGTCGTGATCCACCACGTGCCCGGGAACAGGTCCGACTTTTTGTACATCATCTTGTAGTCGGCCATGACGCCCGTGAAGCGCAGCACGGCCCCGCCCGCCAGGTACAGCGACGTGCGGCTGGGCAGCACCAGGTTGCCGGTCAGGTAGACGCCCGGCGGCACGTAGACGACGCTGCCGGGCTGCGCCTTGGCGGCGTTGACGGCCGCCTGGATGCCCGTGGTAAGGGCCTTGCCCGTGCTGTCTGCCTTGTAGTCGAGCACGTTAAAGATGCCGTTCCCGCGCGGCTGGGGCACGTTCTCCTCGACGGGGTCGATCATGACCACGAAGCCCTTTGTGTTCTTGGAGTCGTTGAGCCGCACGATGAGGTAGTGCGCCTTGATCAGCGAGAATATCAGCTCTTTGCCCTCGACCCGGGCCTGGATGGGCAGGCGCTTCGGGGAGATGGTGTAGGCCGTGATGGCGGGCTGGTCCGTGATGGCGATGCGGAACTCGGTGCGGTAGCCCTGGTCCATCGAGATGTGGACGTAGTCATAGCCGGCGTAGTTAGTGGTGTTGACGTAGGTGCCGTTGACCTTGAGCGAGAAGTGCGCCGACTTGGTGTAGATGGACGGCCGCGGGTAGCTGACGTACTTGGCCTCGGCCACCGCCGCTAAGCACAGCAGGCCGACGGCGGCGATCTTGCTCCACGCGGTCTGGCGCAGCATGGTGGGAACCTTTCTGCTGAGATTTGTCCGGCTTGCTCAGCACGCGGCTAGTGCTAGTGGGAGGAATCTTTGTCCAGCTGAAGCGGATATGCGTGGCCGTATGTATAGTTGCCGACGGCATCCCAACGCTATTCTGCCGTGTAACTAGCCCCGACGGGTTTGCCGCATTCGAACCGCAGCGCCGAAAGGATTGCGGATACATGCGGTGGAAGTGAGGCGGTGCCGTGATATGCGGGACACCAATATCCGAACAAGCACAGGAAACCCACCGTTTGGGGCGCGCTTATCGCCGAGCACAACCCCCACGTAATTATGACAAGGCATTTCGGTGTTAGATGCAGGAACAGACTTCTTTGGCCTGGTGCCGATCCGCGCTGGTTGCGGCAGGATCGTCGGGAGCCGAATCCCAGCGGCTTCTGATCCTTGATGCCGGCCTTGGCCTCGGCTCAACACCCCACAATCACGATGCAGCTCAGCTCGGTGTGATCAAAATAGAGACTTTGCAGGGTACCTAGTCTACAGTGGTGGGTGGAAAGCAGTGGTGGAAATGGTGAAAGATGGTGACTAATGCGTACCATTCATCAAGATACCGTAACCGCTCGCTGAAGCCAGCCCGGCAAAACCAGCCGGAAATGCATATCGCCCGTATCATACACACGAATTTCCCGTCTTTTATGTCCTCTCCCGATCCGATATTTTCATGATGCGCTCTTGTCCACGGCCCCGCCCTTCTCCTCAGATTCGCCCTTCTCCGACTCCTCCTCGGCCTTGTCCGCCTTCTCAGAAACCGGAGTCTCAGGCGGGGTCAGGACGCCGTCGACGCCGGCGAGGCTCCGCTGCTGCTGTTGCTGCTGCTGCCGCTTCTTGCGCGGGACCTTGTCCTCGCGCAGCCTCCACAGCCAGGCGGGGAACGAGCGCACGGCCTCGGACGGGCACTCGAGGTAGACCTGGAAGAAGCCCTGCAGCTCCGAGGGCGCGATGCAGCCGTCGGGCACCAGGCGCCCAAAGTCGGCCGCCAGCTGCGCGACCGTCGTGGCGCGGCACTCGTCGCAGCGGCACGCGAGGTCGCCGCTGTCCTTCTCCGAGACCTTCTTGCCGCCGCCGCCGACGGTGGGCCGGAACATGCGCATAAACATCTCATGGGCGCTCCGGCGGTTGATGTGGCCGATGTAGACCTTCTTGTCGATGCGGCCGGGCCGGACCAGGGCCGAGTCGAGCTCGTCCGGGTAGTTGGTGGTCATGATGACGACGCGGCCCTCCTGCGAGCCGACGCCGTCGAGCACGTTGAGCAGGCCCGAGAGCGTGCAGTCCGAGGTCTTGCGCTTGGCCTTGGCGTTCTCCTCCTTTTCCTTGTTCTTCTTCTTCTTCTTGCTGGACGAGCCGCCGGCCTCGCTGCCGTTGTCGTCGCCGTCCGAGTCGCTGTCGCTGTCGTCGTCGCGGTCGATGCCGGCGGCGTCAATGTCCTCCATGAGCACGATGCAGCGCGACGGCAGCTCCGAGAAGAGCCGCTCCAGGTCCTCGTCGTCGATGTGCGCGAGCTTGAGGATGTACAGGCTCAGGCCGTAGCGGCCGGCGAGGACGGACGCCAGGGTGGACTTGCCGGTGCCGGGCGGGCCGTGCAGGAGGTAGCCGCGCTGGTAGGGCATGCTGCGCGCCTGGTAGCGGCGGCGGGTGATGGGGCTCAGGTACTTCTCAAAGTCGTCGAGCAGGTCCCTCTTAATCTCGCGGTCCAGGTGGATCGAGGACAGGGGCCGCGCGGGCGCCTTGCACTTGAAGCGCCAGTAGCGGTAGTCGTGGCAGTAGATGCGCATCTGGGGCTTGTTCTGGCCGGGGACGAGGGCGCCCCCGATGGCGCCGCTGCCGCCGCTGCTGCTGCCGGCGGCGAGGGTCCGGGCCTCCTCCCTGCACATCTTGAGGAACTCGACGACGGGCTTGCTGGAGTGGCTGACGCAGGTGATGGTCAGGCTCTGGCCCTCCTTCGTGAAGGTCATGGCGCTCGCGCCCACGTCCTCATTGTCGTCGTCGTCGTCTCCATTGGAGTTGCTATTGGCCGCTCCTTTGCGGACTGTGAAGAAGTAGCCACGGAAGAAGAACCAGGTGCGTTTGAACTGGGGCACGCACTCGATGGGCCGGTCCGTCTGCCGCTGGGCCTTCTTCTTTATCAGGGATACGCACTCTTCCCCGCCCTCACCGCCCTCACCACTCTCCCCGCCCTCGTCGCCCTCGTGCTCGTCAAAGAAAATGGGGACGCTACCTCCGCCATATCCCTCGCCGTCACCAAATTCGTCCTCACAGTCATGCAGGGCCTCGCGGAACAGGAAGGACTTGTTGTAGCTCTTGGGCAGGATGTTGCGGTCGATCCACTCCGATACAAAGGTGCTCATCTCGTTGCTGCCGGGAATGGTGACGCGGATGGTGACGTAGTCGCGCAGGGACTCGATGAAGCTGGAGGTTGAACCGTGCAGCCAGCGCAGAGTGCCAAAGGCGAAGGCGGTGAGGGTGAGGATGGAGCTGGTTTGGGTGACATTGAGGCCACCCGGGAGACGTCCAAGCACGGCCTGGAAGATGCCCATGGGGGTGGCATCCTCCAATGGCGGGAGACTGGAGGTGATGTTCTCCATGATGGAGCGGATGTGTGTTGTGGTGGTTTGGTGCTGCAGTAAACCAGGTTGAAAGGGTTTGTCTGGGTTGGTTATTAGGCGGTGTGTCTTATTATCGGGTTTCGTAGTAGAAAAGGATGGGATGGCTGGACGCTTGCGTCTGCCTTGAATTCTGGTTGTCTTTTTTGGTTGCAGTCGTTAGGGATGGCCGAGATGGGTGTCTTTATACAGCCTAGACGCCCGTTGATGCCCTGCGTGCCTGCATCATGCCGCCCAAGCCATCATTGGCCCATCACCAGCTCAATTGGACCTGAGCCACAGCCGGCATGACACATTGGTGTTATCGGTGCAATACCGAACCCCTGGACCTCGCCTCAGCAGCGTGCGCGTGGCAACGCCTGAGGCCGCCAGCCGAGAAATCCTCAATTGCGCAGAACACGCTTGAGCTGCGCTAGAGCCCTCCCCGTCTGCGGCTGTACGCTATTCGGCGGGGGAACCGGCATGCCAAGTGCTGATGCTGCTGGGGGGTGCTAGGCAGGCTCTCCAGTCATCGCCCCTGCCTCATTGGTGTCACTCAACACCCGCGGCTCGCTGGGATGACTCATTAGGCACCAGACCCCGATGGCATGCGAAGCTCGGACTGATGCCGTAGGACTTAATGTCGATGGGGAAAAGGATGCAAATTCCTACGCCAAAAGCTAACTTAACGACCCAGCTAACGACCGGGTCAATCTGCGACAAGATGACTCCCTGCCTGCACCATCCTGCATTTTAAGGCAGCAGCTCTCTGCCTGGATTCCTGCTCTTTTGCTGCCTGCTCGTCTTTGTGCCCAAGTCGGCCCCGCCATCAGCCACGTCGAGGGGACGCTGTCTTTTCCGCGCTGTCAAAAAAGCCACGCGGACTTTGCGGAGCTCGTGCATATTTGTGTTTCTCATGACTTGGAAAGTTGGAAGATAACGGGCTCCCTCTGGGCAGTGCTGCAGGATTCCCGGGCGCATTCCAGCCCTCACTCTCGATGGTTTCGGCAAAGATGCACAGAGGGCGCATCGGTATGCCACTTCCGGCATCCCTAGGATGGCAGTATTTGGATGTCGTTTTCATCCTGCCTCGCTTGGGGCGGCAGTCTGCAACTACGGCCGCGGAGGCACCCATTAGCCCACACACCAACCCATTGAACGTGCTGTTTTGTAATTGATGTGGCTGCCGCGTTTAGACCCAGCCGCGCGGTAACGCCAATTAGTGTGACCCGTGTCCTGGGTGTCGCTCCGGCACAAGTTCCCCGCAAAGTCGCTAGCCAAGCACACAGATATGCCGGGAAAGCCCCACGGCGCGACGATGGAGGGTCTAGGGCGACGCAAAGCCCGGCTGCCACTGAGGGCCCGGCTAACCGCAGTCCGGCCATCGACCAAGGATTGCCTCACTGGTGCACACGATTAGACTACCTTGGTGGCTTGCCAGCGCATGGAGGAAGCGCGCAACAGCCCTCTAGCGGGTATAATAGACACCACACCGGCCAGACGACATGCCAACCAGACCTACTCGTTGTTGACCTCGATCTGATCCGTTCCAGACTAACGCCCTGGACACTCGTGTCACCAAGAACGAGACCGTCATCAAGGCATCACCCCAACCAACAAAATGTCTTCAAAAATGTCTTCAAAAATGTCTTCAAAAATGACGGAATACCCCCAACCGCTGGTTGTGCCTCCTAGGCAGCTTCCGCACAAGCAGACCTTCATCATTCTGCACGACCGCGGGTGGTGGGCCGACAAGTTCGGGCCCGCGCTGCCCGAGACGGCCGTCCCGACGCCGTCGCCGTCGCCTCGAACACTCGCACCCATCTTCCCGCACGCCAAGTTCGTCATCCCGACGGCGGCCCGCACCCGCACGATCCATCTACGGGCGCAGCCTCACCCACCAGTGGTTCGACCGACAACTGGAAGCTCGACCCGCCCGCCGCCGCCGAGCGCGAAGGACCTCTAGGTGCCGGGCCTACGCAACACCACCGCCTACCTACACTCCCTGATCCGGGCCGGAGGTCGGCGCGGTCCCCGGCGGCGACGCGCGCAACATGGTGCTGATGGGCCTCAGCCAGGGGGTGCGCCGCGTCGCTCGTGTCGCTGCTGCTGTGGGAAGGGCCCCGCGCTGGGTGCGGTGGTCGGCATGTGCGGGTGGCTGTCGTTCTGCGCGCGCGCATGCGGGAGCAGCTCGACGGCGGCGGGGAGGCGGCAGAAGGAGAGGACGATTTGTCCCAGCGCGAGGACGAGGACGAGGAGAAGGAGCCCGCTCGTGTGGCTGTGGACTGGCTAAGGGAAGAGCTTGGCCTCCCCTCGGTGGGGATCGGAGGGGATGGCTGGTGTTCTGAAAGGTGCCTGCGTTTCTGGGCCATGGCGTCGAGGACGACAGGGCGCACGTGCCCCTGGGCAGGGATGCGGCTGGAGCGCTAGGGAGCCTAGGAATAGCGCCGTCTGGAAGCAGTATGAGACCCTGGGATATCGGGACTCTGGGAATATGCTTGGGGATATCGTGGGCTTTGTCTTTGAGTCGCTGGATGAGACAGGATGGAGAAATTACAAGTAAGCGGGCGTTCTTGTAGCTGTAAAGTAAAAGTTGTGGTTAGATTGTGGGAGAAGTGGGCGCGGCTGTCCATGTGAAACTCCGCTCCCGGGAAAGGGACAACACTTCATCACTCCATGCCATGACTTTGAAAAAAAAACACCAACTCCAAAATCTCGGTTAATGTACCTGTTCGCCAAACTTCCAAGCGCTGTACATTTCTGGTATTCTAAAAGAGGCCATAGAAAAAGCTCAAAACGTATGTGGCATCAAATAATTAAATTCCTAACCCCACGGATAACCAACACAACTGTTCTTCTCAAAACCCTCGTGAAGATTTAAAGAGTTTGCTACGTAATTAGCTACTGAGATGTTGCTTTATACCTGGCTTTTCATCCCAAACCCACGTTGGATAAGCACTGCCTGGGTGTCACACGGGGATCACCCCCATGACAAGGCAACTGGCCGAGTGGGCCAACGGAGGCCTATCAGGAGGCCATGAGGCAAGGGAGCGTCCTGGTTGGGCCGGCTCAAGGCATCACAAGTCCCCCGCAGACGCCAACCGCCCTCGGCGGGGAGCGCGGCATGACCTACCCCTCTTAGATACGTACCCTAGGACCCCCTCGTGTAGGCTGACGGAAGGCCTATATAAGGGGGGTCTCCCTCTCGAGGTCCCTCTAGGAGATTCTGATTCCTTAAGCATCTCCTTTGAGGTCTTGAGAGATTATCAATACATTGAGACTCCCTCCAAGCCGATCATTGATCCCCTTGTAACATTGGGCTAGCAACAGCAGTTAAAAATATTTTCAAGCCCTTATTGCTGATGAATTGGGGGAGGTATTGCCATCGTTGAATTGAATAATGAAGCTGTTCAGGAATCAGAGGACAATAACAAAAGTACGCTTTTTTTGAAACCTCGCCCAATCCTTCCAAGCCGGCGGGTTGCACAAAGCAGCATCAAAATGTGAAGCCCAGAGCACCGTGGGTTTCTTTGTAACTCGATGTCGCGGGGTAAATCGGCATGTTGACATCGTTTGGAATTGCTCAAGCTGAGTGGTCCACGTGGCATGTCAAAGCGGCATGCATGGATCTGGCCCTACCAATGGGGGTGGCACCACCGTGCATGCAAGCTTCACGAAGGGGTAGGACAACGCATGACATCAAACTCTCCGAATGTTTACGGTTGGGGAGACCAAATGGTCAAAACGCAAAACATTGTTTGATTAGGAATTTTGAAATGCACATATCCAAACAGCATGCAAAGTTTTTATGAAATCCGATGATAGGGAGGGCTGAAGACCGTTATCGGCGGGCCGAATCGCATCTCAGGGATTTAGCCAACTTTAAGTTCAACCCTCATCCGAAAACGGAGCGGGCACGGTCACTTCGTGATTGAACCAGCGGCGGTAAGCCGTTTGGGCGTGTGTAACAGTTATCGTTTATGAGGAGCACCTGCCAGGTCCTTTTAGTCCATGCACTGTCCCGGCAGGGTTAACGGCTTAGGCGTCACGGGCCCGAATATGAGACGGGAGGTCGAGCAGCCGCTGGCAGGGAGGAATGTGAGATATCATTTCCAGTCACAGGGGTTGGGCCTGGGCGGGGGGTCAGTCGGCTGTGTGCGGGGGTAGCTGCACGGGCAAACAAGGCTGGGATAGGTTGACCCAAAGCTGGGGTCTCCACTTTTGTGCTGCGCCAGAGAGGGTGCCAGCAAGCGTCGACAAGGGTTCTGCGCGGAAATGTGCCGGGTGGTCCTATTCGTTGGTGGATGTTTGCTTTTCTTCTCTTCTTTTTTTCTGCTGGGAGCCCTTCGCTGGCTTGTGCGGTCTGGGTTGGTGCACGGGTGATGGCGTGGGAGCCAGGCTTGGCCCCATGGGCTGGCACGGCAAGGAAGAAAAAAATGTTGCTGTTTCGTTCGTCGAAAGTCTCAGCTCCGGGAAGTGGGGTAATTTGGAGCGAGGTTTTATTACTGCGAGGGAAGGTGCGATGGGCAAGCGAGGGTCTTCCCGCCGCAAAACAAACAAGACGCGGCTGGAATCTGGCAGACTTGCTTCTGCGGGAAAGGCACGGGTGCATATGTCTGTCACATTTCTAGCCTTATCGATTCTAAGCCCGGGAGCCTGGGCCTTTTGTGACTTGGCCCCGGCCGGCGGCATACAAACCCAGCACCTCCCTCGCTTATGCAAGAATTTCGCGAACTGCTTTTTTGATATTCAATTTTTTTTTTCAAACACCTTAGTCGTCAACGCCAGCAACCGTCGACCACGACATCGATCGACCTGGCCGCCTCTCGCGTTTTTCTTTGTGTTAAACAGTAGTAACCCAAGGCATTGTCACCGACGCACAATGGGAATGGCAGAGGTCCATGTCCCGGTATTACACAATGTAAGTTCCTTCAACCAATTCCGCTGTCTGCCTGAACTGCGCGAAGCCGAGCACTTAAAAACCCCTCCTTCATTCGCCCAAACGCTTCTGCTCCTGTCTTAGCTGAACTGATCTAACACCCACCAAGCAGTATCCTCGATCGGCGACAGACACGCGCCCTTGCAGTAACCCGAGTGTCGCCAAGGGCAAGCAAAAGAGCGATTCTTTGACTTTGATTCACTATCGGCCCTTGGAATCTTCTTCGTCTTTCTCCTCTCAACAGGTCGGTAGCAGACGACAAGAAATGGCGCCCGCCCAGGACAAGGCTGCGCCACGCCAGACCGCGGTCGCGGCTGAGGCTGTCAAGGGCGTCCGTCCGGACAGCGGCTCAAGGAAGCCGTTGCCTACATCGCGGCCGCCAAGGCTCGGCGATGTGGCAGCAGCAAAGTCGAGCGCGTCCAAGACGAGACGGGGCAAGAATGTCCCTACCACCACGCAGACAGCGACACCTTCGTCGTCTCGAAAAGCCACTCCTTCTGAGGAGCAGGCGCAGGATGAGAAGGTGAGTGCAGATATTCCCAAGGACACATGCCGCGAGTGCGGCAGACCAAGGATTGCCGCGTGGCGCAATCGCCTCACAAGGGCAGGTAGGCATTCCAATTCCCTAATAGTGGCTGACAGGAATCGTGACACGTGCCAGCGCGAGCACCTAGACTCGATGGCGATTCCTGCCGCCCCGAGCAAGCCGGCCTCGTCGCAGAGAATCCGAGCGCCCAAGAGACGTAGGGGCGACGAGGAAGCGTCGAGGATCGGAAACGACTACGGCCCGTGTGCTGGGATCAAGGACTGCATCGTCGTGGGCGGTGGGTCGCCTCCGCCGGAGGATCCTGACGAGGAGGAGGAGGACGACGATCTCGTCCATCTTGGTAACTCTACCAAGCTTGATGATTCTGCCGAGCTTGATGATTCTGCCGAGTTTGACGACTCTGCCAATGTTGACGATACTTCTGTTCCCGACCCTGTCAGCGCGTCCAGCTTAGAGGACGTGATCATGATCGACGGGGCCGATGATGACAGTCTGCCGCCGCTGCCGCCCCAGTTGCCAGCCACACGCAACAGCTCGCCAGCCATCCGCAACAGCTTGCCGTCTGAAGGCAAACGTTCCACGTCTGTCGACCGTAACGCGACCAGAATCCCGACGCCGCCTGCCCCCAGCTCGCGATCTGGAAGCAGTCGCTCCGCGTCTGTCGACCCTAGCGCGGGCAAAACCCCGACGCCGCCTCCCTGCCGCCCTGCCTCGGTACCGGCGCCGGCGCCGGAGGTCTTTCGGTATCCTCTGCCGCCCCCCGCCATAAAAATAGTGGCCCCGACACCAGTGTCGCAACCTACAGACATTGACAACAGGAGCGGCCATCACAATCACCAGCAGCGGCCGGTGGAGCGCCAACATTCACGCCGCGAGTCTTCCCCCGCGCGCGGTCACGTGGCACCAGCTCCAATGCATCGCCCGATTCCTGTCCAACACGGACCTCAGCCCCTTGGCCACCCGCCTCGACAGGAGCATCCACGGAGCCTCGATCGCAGGCATGATGGCTATGTACAGCCGGCCTACCACGCTTCGGCTGCTACGGCTATGAACCGCCAGCCTCGCCTAGAAAACCACATTCCGCCGCAGCAACGGCAGGTGCCCTACCCCCAGCGGCAGTCGCAGCTCTCTCAGCCCCAGTGGCAGTATCAGATGCCGCCTCCTGAGCTGAGGATGAAGCAGTATCAGCGGCAATACCAGTTGCCGCCTCCTCAGGCCAGGGAGCCTCAGCGCCAGCAGCAGTGGCCTCAGCTGCAACTACCCCGGCCTCAACAGCAGTGGCCTCAGCACCCCCAGCCGCCCAGTCGCCTCCAAGGTAGCCTGGCGCCAGAACACCGCCCCCACCCCCACCACCAGCAGAACCAGCAGCCCCAGCGCCTGCCGGGCAACCAGGGGCCGGCGCGCCGGCCAAACCCGAACCCTCGGTATCGGGCGCGCACGCCGCCGCTCGCGGACCCGATAAGCAGCGGCAGGCTGCCCGGCTTCGCGGAGCTGACGCGGGGCATGGACATGAGCCTGCCTCCCAACTACCCACCCGCACCCGTGCTGGGATACCTTGGTGGCGGGCATGTGCAGGGGCGGTACCGGTCCCATCCTTACTCGCGGCCGGCGCAGGGCCGGATGTGATGGGAAACCCGGTTCGGTACCATCTGTGAACAGACAGACCTGTTTTTCAGCCTTGGGTAAAATGATTTTCAAGCCCAAGCACGGTCGACTTCTTCCTCATTTTTACGCATAGGAACGATACCCTGAATTATATATGTAGATACCTACCTTCACAGGCTGCTATAATTAATTTTCCACCCATTATAATACTTGTTCAAAGCAGTGATATTTATCTTCCCACATTGAAATTTCAGAGCCGTTGGTCTTTTGTGCCGAGCTGATTCGATTAGATAAGAAAGCCAGCGTGCCAGATATAACATTAGCCTGGTGATACACACCGCTGTAGGCCCCTCTGGCAGCCTCAATAGCTAGTGGAGCCAGCCGAGATATCACGACTATTGGCCAAGCCGGAGGACATCCCAAGTCAAGCGGGGCCAGGTGGCGATAACGAAGTTCAAAATAGAAGCGGTGAATAGAGTTGAATAAGAGCGAATAAAAGTGGATACGGGCGAATGAGAGCAAATAAGATTGAATAAAAGTGAATAAGAGCGAATAAGGGTAAATGACAGTAAAAAACAAAGCGGAAAAAGAATGAAAAAGCGGCAAAGGTTGAAGGCGGTGCAACCTAATGACCGATAAGCCAACTGACCGTCACGTTACAGGCCGACGTGACCGCCCACGGAAAAGCATCTTCAGTGGGAAAACTACTTTGCAAAAAAACCATGCCAGGTGGTATCCTGGGACGGTGCCTGCGGGTTCTAACATGCCTGAGAAGAGCCGTCGGCCTTGACGACGCGACGTCGCTCTCGTTGCCAGTGTCCCTCTTATCGCGCGTGTCGCTCTCATCGCCCGAATCGCTATAGTCGCTCCACGGCCCCTACGCCCCCCATAACGATGTCCATGCCGCCCTTCTCATCCTCCTCGTTAGCCACGAAATTGGGGGGGGGGGGGGGGGGTAGGGGGGGTA